TATTTCAATAATTCTCTTGCGCGTAGGAGTCTTTAACAGTGGGAGGAAACTGGAGGACCCGGAGAAAACCCACGGGGATGGACAGGCGATCCTACTCCTTGTCACGTACAACCGAGAATCGAAACCAGTCCAGTTGACTGAATGACAGACCTTATGATACAATGTGCACATGCTAACCATTCGGCCATCCAACCCCTGAGAATCTTCAATGAATTTGACGAATAAGCTCTAATTAAACTATAAGACTTCTCTTAAAGTGAAATTGTTTTAAATTGTGTTAAACAAAAGATCATCAAATTACTATGATAAACAAGCACCACTCGGAATCGAGACATCATATAAAAAATCTAAGTCTGTCAATTAATGTGCAATTGTCCAAGGAACAAGCATGCCATGTTTCATTTCGATAATACACGAATTGGCAGAGCCTTAGGCTTAACGTCCACTCGACACACACTAGGTCACTTCGGGACCAACATATGGTTTAATTTTATTTCAATAATTCGCTTGCGCATAGGGGTCTTTAGTAGTGGGAGGAAACCGGAGGACCCAGAGAAAACCCACGAGGTTGGACAGGCTACCCTCTTCTTCAAAGAGCATCGCCACCAAGAAGAACAACACAAACAGTAGCGGTTGAGTACAAGTGACTCGTCCAAAAATCAAATAAATAAATTAAATTCATAATAACACAACTTTATGGATTTACTACTTCTTAGTTTATTACATGCAACTTTTCAATACTCTTACAGGTATATCTTTATCAAGCAATAATCAATAATGAATAACAACCACAGATTCAAAGGAAATCGGTTGTTGTTATAAGTCCTAATTAATGTGATGTTTTCATTGTTAAAATTGTCTTACTCATGGATGTACTATAAATGTAAGGTTATTATTCATTATTGATCATTGCTTGATAAAGATACTTGTAAGAGTATTGAAACGTTGTATATAATAAACTAAGAAGTAGTAAACCTATAAAGTTGTATTATGAATATTATACCTCTACATCTAAATGTTATTCAAGGATATTAATTAAATAAATTACAACAACTACAACACATACTTATTGAAGAACAATTACTGATTTATTTAGGCTACGTTTCGAAGAGTATTCTCTCAATGTTTTCAAGCAAGTTGAGAGAATACTTTTTGAAACCTGGCCTAAATAAATCAGTAATTGTTCTATAGTTTATTGCTCTATCAGTTACTAAATGCCTCTAAAAAAACATTAAATAAATTACCTAGTACACCATATTCTGAGAGTGAACTGTTACATACAGTATATTTAGCTTGATCAGGATACAGATTATTTAATGGAACAGCCCAACGTTTATCCTGATTCTGATCGTGTAATACATGATGACGATGACTGAAACACAAATAAACAATAATGACGGATTAAATGCAACTGCTAATTAAAATTGTACAGGCAGTAAACAGTGATATAGTATGAGAACATCAGCTAAAGTTTCCATGGTTACCTGTGCACAGCCGCACTGAATTCCAAATTCTCACTTTCGCTAATAAATGTCTCAATCAACTAGCACCACCTTATCTTTCAACACAGAGTTCCACAGAGGCGGACCTGCTCTGAAGCTGGGGTCCTATTTATTGAACCAGCGTGACCGTTCCTCCAGGTGACGTACGACGAGCGTGCCTTCACTAATGCTGCCCCTTTCTGTTTGCAATGCCTCCTCTGTGCACTCCTTAAAAAAACCACCTCAAAACACATCTTTTTTCGACAGCACTACACTGAATGATTTACTTACACTACTATTGCTTTTATTTTTACTTTGTTTTTATGTCATATTATGTGTTTATGTTGTATTAAGTTTTTATGTCATATTATATGTATTTATGTTGTATTATGTTTTTATGTCATATTATATGTCATATTGTGTTTTATGGCATGTTTTTCTGAAATATAATATGTTTTCATGTAATTATATGTTTTTGTACTACGCATTGAGATTGTTTTTATGATGTAATGTGCATAATAAGAAATAAATTATTATTATCAATATATAGATAAATAGTTGACGAAACAACCAAGTTAGATTTTAAAAATTATCTACCTGAATGTTCCTCTTTCCACATCTTGACCACTTAGTCTGACATGAATTCCTTCTTTTAAAAGTGAACCAAAAGCCAGTGCTTCACCTAAAGCCCAATCTACGGTTCTATTAGCAACCATTTCATTTCGACTTTTCAGAGCTCTCTTTAAACCTACAAATAAATATACAATATATATTCAGAGAAGAAATACTTTAGAATGATATATTGGTTTCTTAATCCAGAAATAATGCTGATATACAATATTTCCAATCTGATTAAAATACAGATCTATATTTCGTTTCGCTTTTTTTATACTTTCCATGGCCTACATTACATGAAGATCTGACCGATTGTACTGGAAGGTTGCTTCAGAGGTCATACAAGCGGCTTTTGACCCTATGACGTCAGACATTTGATTAACCAATCAGCATTGATGTTACTAGTGAATTACCCACAGTTCCATGCAAAACACGCCTAAAGCTCGCCGTAACAGATCGTTTCATTGGCTAATCTCTTACACCATTCAGAAAAGATCAATGATAACAACTCTTCCAGATTCTGGTGTAGTAAAGACAAGTAAAACGAAATTTTGAACTATAAAAACGAAACGAAATAGGATCTATGTTTTAATCAGGTAGACAATATTTCAAGATTTTCATTAATTCACATTGATTTATATTTCAAATCTGATAAAATACCATATTAATAATACCAATCAAATGAAATGAAATGGAGTTTAACGTCCTACTGTTCTGCTCCTAACCTGGACTAATGAAGACGGGCATACGCCATACAGTGTGCTATGAGGGAAATTTTGCCCGGACAGCGGCCTACTCTTATATCGAATTCCAACTGCCAAGGGATCTTTTACGTGCACGCCAATGTGTACACGGGACCTCGGTTTTTCGTCCCATCCGAACGACTAGACAGCTTTCCTTGTCAGCCCCTCTGTCCTGCATCACTGACAAGGGAGAACCACGCCGGAAAATCTGGATAAACTTTCTCGGCCAATGCAGGGATCGAACACCCGACCTCCAGGCTAGAGAGCTAGCGTCTTACCCACTTAGCCACGTGCTCCCCACCAATCAAATGATCTTTCTGATTATAACCACAGAGTGCTAGAAAACTAACTTCTTTAAGCGGCATTTAGAAGATGACCTGCCCTTCTTCTCACGACAGCGATTTTATAACTGTGTTTTAAAGTGATTTTTAGATATACAAGAACTTTCTATTTTCAGTGTTTTTATCCATTTTCTATATATTACTCCTTCATATGTAAATAACTTCATTAAATCAACCTGTCCATAATATCATACCTTATTTATTGGATGTTAAATTTGTAATAAACAACAACAGTAGCGGCATTTAGTAACTGAATGAGAATAACACACGCCACAATGGAATACAAGTTACTTAAAAGTTTATTTCTGACAAAATTTCGACAAGGGTTCTCTCGTCTTTATCAAGCAAAATAAATGTGTTATACTATAAAACTAAGTGTAAACCTACCTCCATGAATGGTAAAATCGCCACCAGGTGGGGTACTGAACTTTATACCAATGTCACGCAGAGTATCTTCAGATATACCAGTACTAGGAAGTTTCATAGGGTCACGACCCTCGAAAAATCCAGTCCATGGAGAATCTAACCAATCCTTGTTGCTGACTGCAGTCTCTTTCTTGGCTAATACATAAGCTTCTTCACAAATTTTATCATATTTAGCGACTTCTTCCTATAAATGAAAAATTATTAAACTATAAATCACTTAAAACAATAATGAGGACATACAAAGGCTCAGTAAGGGTTCTATCATGATATTTTGCTGTGGTTCCTCGTTGTCAGTGATGAAGGATGGGCGGCCTGGTAATTATAGTCGTTCGGATGGAATGAAAAACTGAGGTTGCGTGTACACCGGGATCGAACATGGGACCTCCAGGTTAGCGGGCCAAAGTCTTCCTCAGTTCACTGAGCCACTGTTCCTCCAAATTCTAAATAATTTGGTATCTTGTTCTAGTAAAGGCTGGCACTTTCAGAGAGAGAGAGAGAGAGAGAGAAAAATGGGGTTTAACGTCCACTCGTCACTAGGTCATTTCAGGACTAACATACGGTTCAACTTTATTTCAATAATTCTCATGCGCGTAGCGGTCTTTAGCAGTGGGAGGAATCCAGAGGACACAGAGAAAACCTATGAGGTTGGACTGACACTTTCAGTGGTGTGTATGTAAAGTGTATAAAATAAACAATGACTTCAAGTACATACACACCACTTTTATGTGGTTATTTTTTGTGTTCTTGAAATAATTTTCATTCAACTTGAATACGTACAGCATTTTCATTACTTTAACTTATCTATACCTAATAATACATAACATAACAATTCTTACTGAGAAATAGAACTTTATTTTTAACAAAATATATTATATTACCTCGTATTCTTGTTGAGTAACAACACCTTCATTGATGAGTTTTTCGGCATATTTAGCTATCACAGTTGGTTGTTTGGTAATCTTTTTGTACATAAGTGGTTGTGTAAACATGGGTTCATCTATTTCATTGTGTCCATTTCTTCTATAACTAACCTACAATTAGAGTTTTAAAGTAGGCCTATATTACATTATTATTATCTCATCTTAAAGTAATAAAGTAGGCCTACATATGTTTATACTTTACATTATCTCATCTTAGAGTTAGAGTAATAAAGTAGGCCTACTTGTTTATATAATCTAAATACCACTGTGTCTGTTTTTCTTTGAAATTGGATCAAGCATGCTCACATAGTATTGAGACCAACCCACTATCAAGACAAAATCCTGCCAGTCCCACAGGTGGTCTTAATAGAAGGAATTCACTGTATTCATTAAACAGGTGAGGCTCGACAAAGTGATCACCTTGTTTATTAACCAAAGTAATGAAACAAAAATTAAAGTGTCGATATTCCAGAATCAAAGATCTGCATGAATCCTGCCTTTCAATATTCCATTAATATTTCTATAGACTACTACCATCAAAATGGGTATATTCTTTAAATACTCTACCAATCAGGCAGAGAATTTTTAAATTAAGACCTCCAAATTTTCTGATCTGTTAAAGATACATTAACTAAGATTTTTATAAAGTGTTGGCCATTCTTGATATAATAATTCAAAAATAGATGATAAAAAAAGAAAATATTGAAAATTTCAGTCAAATTACTTTATTCTGAACGAAGTTATCACTGTTGGAAGTTTGGACTAGAAATTTCCATCAATTGTCTCTGCACCGTCTCCGAGAATTGCTGATTGTTTGATTGATAGATGATAACTCCGCCCACATATTCTCGATTATCAAGGAACATTCCCAGTGCCTACCCTCGATTATCAAGCCTTTCATTGGCAGTCACCGGAAGTAAATGTTAGCTTGGTCAGCCATTTAATGATTTAATTATTAAATAGACGACTGTTTAAATCTAAGCCATCCGAGGGTCTACAGAATTGATTTTGGGCTTGTTATGTAAATAAAGGTCTGAATAACAAATTTTATTTGAAGCCTATAGAAAGACTTGCAATCTGCATTTTAGCTCTAAACAAATGTATCTTTAAGCTAGCCTTTTATTAAAATGTTGATTTATATAAACATGCTGTTTCTAAATTTTTTATTTCCACAAAATATCAAGTTTTAACATACCAAATCAATGACTACATCTTTTCCAAATGTTTGTCTCCATTCAGAAGCGACTTTACAAACATAGATAACAGCTTCTGGATCATCACCATTCACATGGAAGATAGGAGCATTAACTACACGGGCAACATCAGTACAGTATGGTGAGGATCGAGAGAAACGAGGATCTGTTGTGAATCCAATCTAAAAAATTTTAATGAAACAAAAATTAAACCTTGTGTTATACATATTGTTGAAGAAACCTAAATACATGTTATAAAATAGTTGCAACACAGTAGCGAGTGACAGTAGAAAATTTATCAACATCGAAGCACTGAATATGCAAGAAAAAAATGTTTAGATCACACACAATCAAAAGTCATTCTGTCCACTCCACCCATTAACACTAAATAGGCAATACTTTTTATCCAGATATACTTCAAACACCTTTATTTATTTTTCTAATACTTCAAAAAAAAAGGTTCTAGAATTTAATTTGCCGATGGAAAAAAGTTAATATCGTGAGCTCATTAAGCTCATGTCATTCCTCTCAGTGATATTAGCGGCCTAGCAAATATTCACTACTGATCATTCAGGGCCCTGTTTCTCGAAATCTTAACTAAAGATAAATTCCAAATTTTAGTAGATACTTCAATTTTGATTGGCTAAGCACTAAAATCAATCTAATATTATCCAATCAAATTGCTAAAATTTGGATTTTATCTTAGTTAAAATTTTGTGAAACAAGCCCCAGAGTGACATTAAATATGTAGTATAATTACCTGGTTGTTAACTACGATGTGTATAGTACCATGTGTAGTATAAGCTGGAAGATCACTCAAATGAAATGTTTCATATACCACACCTTGACCAGAAAATGCTGCATCACCGTGTAATAAAATACTCATTACCTAAAACACAAAAAATACACTGGTATTTAAAAGTAGATACAATCAAGGACGAACTGAGGACATTGCAGGGATCGTACACAGATGTTTGTCAAAATTGTATATTATTATGAAAGCCTCTAGTGAAATTTTATGATATTTTTATCAAATTTTATGATATTTTTATCAAATTTTATGATATTTTTCAAATTTTATGATATTTTTATTTTTTTATGGCATTTCATGACTTTTTATGTTTTTATCATTATCAAATATTATTTCTTTTTTTATATAAAACTGAACTGAGAGTAAATAACTTATATCTGGTCCATGGAGTAGTGTTCAGCCAGTGTTATGCAGATAAGAACTAAAACGAAATGGAGTTTAACGTCCTACTGTTCTGCTCTGGATGAGACAAAAAAAATGAGGTCCTGTGTACACATTATTATGCGCATAAAAGATCCCTCGACAGTTGGAATTCGATATAAGAGTAGGCCGTAGTGCCGTTGTCCAGCCAAAATTTCCCTCATAGCACACTGTATGACATATGCCTGTCTTCATTAGCCCTGTCAGAGCAGAATAGTAGGACGTTAAACCCCATTTCATTTCTTTGAAGGGCGGGAGGCAAAAAAAAAAAAAAAAACAAGATGAACTTTAGATCTGTATTTTAATCAAATTTTTATAAAAAAAAATAATTCAAAAGTTACCTTTTTTCCATCTCTATCTCCACGTAAAAACTGTTCAGCCCTAACTTTACCCTGTACAATGGGATCAACAGCTTCTAAATGGGACGGGTTAGCTACTACAGCTATTTTGATGTTTTTATTTGTGACTCTATTTAAACGTTCATGACACATTCCTAGATGATATTTGACATCTCCAGATCCTTCATCTGCTGCTTCTAGTTTGGAGTCGAACTGACAAATAATTTTCTCGAGTGGTTTTCGACAAACATTTCCCAGGACATTCAAACGACCTCTGTAATAAAAGAGAAACTCATGTATAGTAATTTTCAGTTGAGCTAAACCTTTTCATCTAAATTTTGATAATTAGTTGTTCAGCATACAATCATTTTTACCCATTTAAAGATAAAATAATGAATTATTAAGATTTATAGCAATTTCATGCATGAAATAAAAGATAGGTTGTCAGGCAACGAAACAACCACAGCAGCTAAGTAGTCCGAGCAGTCAACAAGAGGGTTGTCACATATTTTTTCTATTGTTGGTAATGAAACATTTATAATACACTAAAATCTGATTAAGCGTAACAACTCTACGTAATTATCAGAAATCATTAGAATTTGTTTGGCTTTTATAAAGTTCTGCCCCATGCTAACGTTTAGTATACAAAACATTTAATATCATGGATTTAGCTGTTCAAGTTATCAAAATCCATTGAAAATCAATATACTTGTTCGTGTCAAGACCTTAAACTCTGTTTATCAATCTAAAGCCAATCGGATGATAACTTTTGTCTCTAGAGCATCCACAAGATTTTTCAAGTGATTAAAGGCTATAAAAATGCTACCAATATTGAGCACAATCCAGGCAATTCTGAGCCTATGAAAGAAATATTTTTTCATTGGTTAGAGTTTAAACCTTTTACTGGGGTTTAGCAAATGAAACAGGTACGACATCCTATAAATATCTTTTATTTAAGTTGTCCATAACCAAATCCACAGAAAATTATCAAATAACACACTATCTATGGATAAAAATTACTATGGTTTATTTCACTGCAATGCTTCAACAAGATTACACAAGTCGTTGTTATATGCTTGATAACGACTTGTGAAATCTTGTTGAAACATCGCAGTAAAATAAACCATAGTAATTGTTATCCATAAATAGTGTGTTATTAAAAGTTCCAATTACTAAATGCCATTTAAAAAAAATTAGTTTTGTTAATCATATTGTACCTGTGTGGCATTCCAATAGCAAAACTATCCACACCCTGAGCACTACAAGAATCAATTATAGTTTTCATAGCAGGAATCAATACTTCACATCCTTCTAATCCAAATCTCTTCTCAGATGACCATTTTCTCGCTAAAAACTCTTCAATTCTACAAATAAAACAACACCAAAGTTAAACAATACTAAATTCCTTACAATTGAATTAGTTAGCATACTATTTCATTGGTTTAAAAAATCTTTCTTATCTACAAGAGTTAGATGTTGGCTCGCTAACCTGGAAGTCAAGTGTTTGATCCCTGCATTTTCAGACGTGGTTCCCTCTTGTTAGTGGTACAGGACCAAGAGCCTGACAAGCGACAACCCATAGTCATTGGGATGGGATGAAAAACCGAGGTCCCGTGTCCACAAGATCCCTTGGCAGTTGGAATTCAAAATAAAAGTAAGCCACAGCGCCGCTGTCCGGGCAAAATTTCCCTCTTAGCACAAGCCTAGTTGAATTAGAACAATTGGGCATTAAACCACCATTTCATTTTCTTATCTACAACATGGACAATCATCAGAGAATTCGGTCATATACCCATTCCAACATCTCACTTTTTTAAACATACATTATACAAGAGGTAAATCTGCCTATGGCAAGTCTTTCTTTGGGCCTTAAAGGTCACCGGAAAAGCATCAATTTTTTTTTTAAATAATGCAAGTAATTATGTCAACATATCCTTTCCATAAGTATAACCCGAGCCCGAACGTCAATAATACCTGCAACAGGTAAATTTCAACATCAGTAATTTCCGCCGTTCTCCGTCGGTAGTCGGAACTTTCCGTCAATAAGCAATCCGTGACGTCATTTTAGTCCTTCTGCACATAGAAATATAGACTAGAATATGAGCAGAAGGACTAAAATGACGTCAAATTTACGGAAAGTTACGACTACCCACGGAGAATGGCGGAAATTGCTAACGTTGATATTTACCTGTTGTAGGTAATATTGACATTCGGGTTCGTGTTATACTTATGGAAAGGATATGTTGACATAATTACTTGCATTATTTAAAAAATTTATGAACCTTTTCCGGTGACCTTTAAATGTTTTATAAAATATTAATTAGACATTAATTAACATGACAAGACCATAATCAACTCTCGATGTCGTCGGATATCTCCTATATTAAGTAGATTAGAATGCTAAGGTTCAGCCATATTTTGCATTTTAGATTAAAATCTAAAAATGGTGAAGCAAGACTAAGCTTCGAACAACCAGTGCGGTGGTTGCAATTACTGCACACATCTTGTCAAACATTCAAATGCTAATATCTTTGCTCGCATTGAAGCAATTTGAACGAAATTTTCAATAAAAATATTTCCGAACTATTATAGTAAGAATGGCCAACTCTTTATCAAAATCTTGAAAAATAAAATGAAATGAAATGGGTTTAACGCCCTACTGTTCTGCTCCAAACTGGGCTAATGAAGACGGGCATACACCATACAGTGTGCTATGAGGGGAAATTTTGCCCGGACAGGGGCACTACGGCCTACTCTTATATCGAATTCCAACTGTCAAGGGATCTTTTACGTCTCGCC